ACGGGAGCGTGGCTTGTGAGGGGTGCATGCAGGAAGACCCTGGCTGTGGGGGCAACAGGGCCTTCTGGAAGCTGGCCAGGTGGCTATGGTGGCCGTGCACAGGAGGGGCTGGCCCCACCTTGGTGGCAGAAGGTCAGCCGCCGCTCCTCGCCTGTCTCGATGTTGGCCACCCACAGGTCGCTGTTGTTGATGAAGGAGAAGAAGGCAGGGTCGGCAGGGCAGATTTTGGGGTCCATCCGGGGCCCTGAGCACTGGGTCTTGATTTCCAGCGGTTTCATAGGGGACACCTGAGGACAGAGACACCCGGCTCAGGAGGAGGGACCCGCCACGCCGCCCCTGCACGCGGCCAGGGCCGGGGCTCACCATGAAGCCGTTCTTGCCGCCATCGCGGCAGTGGAAGAGGCTGTTGCTGGCCTGGAAGAGGAAGAGGCCGCTCTCGCTGTGGAAGTCGTAGGAGGTGATGCCGAAGACCCCCAGGCGCTTCCGCTCCCTCAGCAGCTCCTCCTCCCGAGAGTAGACCCCGTGGTGGGGCGTGGCCTGGAAACATACAGGCGACGGGGGCAGCGTCAGCGGGCAAAGAGGATCCCCCACTGGCCAGGGCAGAGATCCTTGGGCTGGGGCATTCCCAAGGAATCTGACTTTGGGCCTCACCAGAGAGAACTTCCTGCACTGGGCAGAATGGGATGCCGGAGCCCCTGACCCAGTGGGTGGCCAAAGATTGCCAGCAAACCTGGCCCTGCAGGACTGGCTGAGTGTCCTAGGAGGTGGCGGGGGAGACTCTGGGGCCAGAAGCCTCCTCACTTCCTGAGCTCCCTCCCCACAGACCCTCTCCACGGCAGATGGGGCCCCTGGGATGGGCTGTCCCCTGCCTCACACCACCAGAGTGCTCTCTCTGGGTCCCTAGTGCCAATCTTACGGACTCCCCACCCTTCTACCCTGTTCACAATTCCTTCCCATCAAGAGCTTTCAATTTTGTAATCCCAGCACTTTGGGAAGCCAAGGTGGGCGGATCCAGAGGTCAGGAGTTCGAGACCAGCCTGGCCAATATAGTGAAACCCCATATTTACTAAAAATACAAAAATTAGCCGGGTGTGGGTGGCACGCGCCTGTAGTCCCAGCTGCTCAGGAGGCTGAGGCAGAAGAATCGCTTGAACCTGGGAGGCAGAGGCTGCAGTGAGCCAAGATTGCACCCCTGCACTACAGCCTGAGTGACAGAGCGAGACTTTGTCTCAAAAAACAAACAAACAAACAAGCAGAATCTAAAGCAAAATTACCCCCTACACTCTGTGGAAAGTAGTGTAAATATGAGGACATTGGCTTGGGGACGCAGAGACAGGCCAAAGTGAGGGCCAGTAAACCAGTGGTGGAGAAAGTGGGAGTGCCAGGATCTCAGAGACACGGTTAGATATCATTATTGTTACATTGTTATGTTTATGTTGTTACTATGTTATAATGTTATATTATTTTATTGTTACATTGTTACTATTTTAGGGGGGGTGGGGGGTGGGATTGGCTATCTGCCAGGCTGGAGTGCAATGGTGAGATCATGACTCACTGTACCCTTGCACTCCCAAGTTCAAGTGATCCTCCCATCTCAGCCTACCAATTAGCTGGAACTACAAGGCGAGTGCCATCAGGCCTGGCTAATTTTATTTTTTGTAGAGACAGGGTCTTGCTGTGTTCCCCAGTCTGGTCTCAAATTCTTGGGCTTAAGCAATCCTCTTGCCTCGGCCTCCCAATCATCAAACACAAAAACACGCCAATGCAAAAGGCATTTTTCCTCCCTCAACCATCCCCAGAGAGCCAACACTGGGTGAGATTAATAATTAACCAGTCTCTCCAAAAGGGCCTCAAGCCAGGTTAATTCCCAGTCTTTGGTGATGCGGTTAAAAGAAAGAGATGCTTTTGGTAAGAGTTTCTCTGTCGCTTGAGTACAGGTGGTCGTGGGGAGGAGGGAAGGCTCACCCGCCACAGTCCACAGGACGGAGGGTTTGCAGAAACCCACAGCCGGTGGGGAAGAGAGGTGACCGAAGGTGTGTATGGCCTGTGGGGCTGGCCTTTGCCCACCTCCTCGCCCACGGTAGGGCCCACGCCCAACAGCACAGCTCACCTGGAAATGATCCAGCATCTGCTTCCAGGACAGGAGCAGCAGAGCCTCTTTCCGGACCTTCTTGGGAATCTCAGAGTAGAGGAGAGAGTTCTCTCGGCTGCCATATGGCATCCCTAAGGGGAGAAAGGAAACACCCAGAACGGGTACCCTGGCTCAGGATGGGGAGATGCCCTCAGCCACGATGCTGACTCCCTGCGGCTGGGCCCCGCTGGTTCCCTCTGCTTCTAGAACATTCTGCCAGGCCGCTGGTGGGAAAGCCCTCCCAGGAAAGCTATGGATCCTGGGTTTGCGTATGTAGGCAGTAGGGTCTTCCACCTGAGATACTTCTGATGAATCTCATGGCCCAAATTACTGAAGAAACAGTACACAAGAGGCTGGGCACAGTAGCTCTCATCTGTAATCTCAGCACTTTGGGAGGCCGAGGTGAGAGGACTGCCTGAGCCCAGGAGTTTGAGACCAGCCTGGGCAACACAGCAAGACCCCATTTCAAAAAAAATAATAAAATAAAATAAAATATGGCTGGGCACGGTGGCTCAAGCCTGTAATCCCAGCACTTTGGGAGGCTGAGACGGGCAGATCACGAGGTCAGGAGATCGAGACCATCCTGGCTAACCCGGTGAAACCCCGTCTCTACTAAAAAATACAAAAAACTAGCTGGGCGAGGTGGCGGGCGCCTGTAGTCCCAGCTACTCGGGAGGCTGAGGCGGGAGAATGGCGTGAACCCGGGAGACGGAGCTTGCAGTGAGCAGAGATCCGGCCACTGCACTCCAGCCTGGGCGACAGAGCGAGACTCCGTCTCCAGAAAAAAAAAAATAAATAAATAAAATAAAATAAAACAGACAGAAGAAAAAAAGAAGAAGAAATCGCACACAAGAGAACAACAAGGGCAGTCAGGAACAAACATCCAACTCTCAACAGGTTGGGTTCAGCTCTCCAAGGCCCTTCTTTATCAAGGCTTTTGCAGAGGACAAGAATTAAATTAATGTAGGATTAGAGGGAGGGCAAAACCATCAAAAAGAAATAAGGGCCAGGCGACATGGCTCACGCCTGTGATCCCAGCACTTTGGGAGGTCAAGTCAGGCAGATGACTTGAGGTCAGGAGTTCAAGACCAGCCTGGCCAACATGGTGAAACCTTGTCTCTACTAAAAACACAAAAATTAGCCGGGCATGGTGGCACATGCCTGTAGTCCCAGCTACTCAGGAGGCTGAGGCAGGAGAATTGCTTGAACCTGGGAGGCAGAAGTTGCAGTGAGCCGAGATTGCGGCACTACACTCCAGCCTGGGTAACAGAGCAAGATTGTCACAAAAAAACGGAACGGGGAAGCATGCACCTGGTCCAGTATTTCCCAACCTCACCCCTAATCACATTTGGGCCTGGACCATCCTTTGGGGTGGGGCCGTCCTGGGCACTGCGGGGCTCTGAGCAACATCCCCGTCCTCCACCCACTTCATGCCGGGGCACCCCACAGTCGTGACAACCACACATATCCCCAGGCATCTCCCAGTGTCCCTTGCAAGGGCAGAATCACCCTCGACCTCAAACCACTGATTTAATCAAAGCTTCTGTAGAAAATGACAGTAGTGAGAGCTGCCAAGTGAGGGTTTTGGGTGGATTACATGAGTTAAGCAACGTACAGCTCTTGGCCCAATGCGCGTGACCCTCTGTGAAATCAGCGTATTTCGTCAGTAGGGCGTGGCTTTCCATGTACGCGTGTCTCTGCGCTTGGGATAGGTCTTACTGGGGAACGCGCGATCAGGTTCTTAGTGGCAAATAAATAACTGTATTTTCCAAATGCTCACGTCTTAGATTTGCTGGAAGACGGGACCACTGTCATTAGAAAAGGGAATGGCAGAAGCAGGATGGTAATCCCTGGGAAGCTTCGGTTTCCCCTCTCCATGCAACGCCACGGAAAAACCAGGACAGGGCTCCTCCAAGCATAAAGCTGTCCAGTGGCCCACAAACATGACATGGCTAACGACGAGTCACAGACAGCTCGGAGCCCTGGCCCCTCCTTGCTCTATTTTCAGCCCTGAGTTTCTCCAGGAGGAAGCCTTGGATTGGTGCTGTCCTCTCCTCTTTTGAGGACCTCCTCATACTTGTCTTTTGTTGTTGTTGTTGTTGTTGTTTTTGAGACAGATTCTTGCTCTGTTGCCCAGGCTGGAGTGCAGTGGCACGATCTTGGCTCACTGCAGCCTCCACCTCCCAGGTTCAAGCGATTCTCCTGCCTCAGCCTCCTGAGTAGCTGGGATTACAGGCATCCGCCACCATGCTGGCTTTTTGTTTTTTTGGTTTTTTTTTTTTCGAGTTTTGCTCTGTCACTCAGGCTGGAGTGCAGTGGCGCGATCTGGGCTCACTGCAACCTCTGCCTCCTGGGTTCACGCCATTCTCCTGCCTCAGCCTCCCGAGTAGCCAGGACTACAGGCGCCCACTGCCACGCCCAGCTAATTTTTTGTATTTTTTTTTTTTAAGAGACGGGGTTTCACTGTGTTAGCCAGGATGGTCTCGATCTCCTGACCTCGTGATCCGCCCGCCTTGGCCTCCCAAAGTGCTGGGATTACAGGCTTGAGCCACCGCGCCCAGCCTATTTTTTGTATTTTTAGTAGAGATGGGGTTTCACCATGTTGGCCAGGCTGGTCTACACTCCTGACCTCAGGTGATCCACCCACCTCGGCTTCCCAAAGTGCTGGGATTACAGGCATGAGCCACCACACCCGGCCCTCACTTGCTAAGAGAACAGGAAAGCCACAAGCTCACCACCTCCAGGATTAGTGCTTAATAAATAATATCTGTGCCATTTTTATTTCTCGTTATAGGCAGCTGCAGGGTCCTCCAGTTTCCCCCTGCTTTCTTTCTGTGTCCTGACTGAAAAATCACAGAGTGTCCTGACCTCTGTGGCCCAGCCAGTTGCAGGTTTTTCCCTGCAGGCTTGAACCAGAGCCTAGAACATTCCCAGGCACCGATAAATACCGAAAGCCAGCCCCGGCCCTGAGCCAAAATCCTTAAACCCTCACATAAACTCTATACCCTGAGCCCCTTGCCGAGGACACACCTGGCTATAGAATGTGCTTTTCTCTGATGCCCACTACAAGGACACCGAACCCCACCCTGCACCGAAGGCCCCTAGGAAATGCTTTGGACTCATCCCCCTGGTATTTAGGGTTCCTTTCTTTGGAATCCCAACCAGCCCCATCTGGGGACGGCTCACGGCACTTCCTTGTGGGAACTCCTCTGCCGCTGCCTTTGGGGTAACTGTAGCTGCGGGTTCAGTGGGATGAAATAGAACCTTCTCACTATTCACAACAGCAAAGACACGGAATCAGACTAAATCCATCAACGGTAGACTGGATAAAGAAAACGTAGTACATATGGCCGGGCGTGGTGGCTCACGCCTGTAATCCCAGCACTTTGGGAGGCCAAGGCGGGCGGATCACGAAATCAGGAGATTGAGACCATCCTGGCTAACACGGTGAAACCCCGTCTCTACTAAAAATACAAAAAAATTAGCTGGGCGTGGTGGCGGGTGCCTGTAGTCCCAGCTACTCTGGAGGCTGAGGCAGGAGAATGGTGTGAACCCGGGAGGCGGAGCTTGTAGTGAGCCGAGATCACGCCACTGCACTCCAGCCTGGGCGACAGAGTGAGACTCCATCTCAAAAAAAAGAAAGAAAATGTAGTACCTATATACCAGGGAGTATTATGCAGCCATAAAAAAGAATGAGCTCATGTCCTTTGCAGGGACATAGATGGAGCAGGAGACCATTATCCTTAGAAAACTAATGCAGGAACAGAAAACCAATGCAGGAACAGAAAACCAAATACCACACGTTCTCACTTTAAAAGTGGGAGTTAAATGATGAGAACACACAGACACATGGAGCAGAACAGATACTGGGGCCTACTGGAGGGTGGAGGGTGGAGGGGGAGAAGCAGACAAAAGAACTATTGGGTACTAGGCTTAGTACCTGGGTGATGAAATAATCTGTACAATAAACCACTATGACACAAGTTTACCTGTGTAACAAACCTGCACATGTACCCTTGAACCTAAAAGTTTGTTTTTTTGGGACAGGGTCTTGCACTGTTGCCCAGGCTGGAGTGCAATGGCACGATCTCGGCTCACTGCAATCTCCACCTTCTGGGTTCATGTGATTCTCCTGCCTCAGCCTCCCAAGTACCTGGGATCACAGGCACACACCACCATACCTGGCTAATTTTTCATATTTTTAGTAGAGACAGGGTTTCACTGTTAGCCAGACTGGTCTTGAAATCCTGACCTCGTGATCCACCTGCCTCGGCCTCCCAAAGTGCTGGGATTACAGGCGTGAGCCACCGTGCCCGGCCAATTTTTATTTTTATTTGTTTTTTTTGAGATGGAGTCTCGCTGGAGTGCAGTGGCACGATCCCGGCTCACTGCAAGCTTCGCCTCCCGGGTTCACGCCCTTCTCCTGCCTCAGCCTCCCGAGTAGCTGGGACTACAAGCGCCTGCCACCATGCCCAGCTGATTTTTTGTATTTTTTAGTAGAGACGGGGTTTCACCATGTTAGCCAGGATGGGTTTTTTTTTTTTTTTAAAGAAAGAAACAGCAACTTCTAGTTGTGGCAAGGAACACAGGTTTCCCACATGTGATGAAGCGTGCTTGTGAATTACAGTAGTGACGGAAGGATACACTTAAAGAAAAAGATTAGATTAACAGGGTTCCTTTTAAAGTGTATTTATGAAAAATGCAAAGTTCAGTGAGATGTGTGTGGGAAGGAGAAAAATCGTGCGGAGAGTCAGGGGTGAGCAAAAGAACCCAAGTGCAGGAAACACGAATCAATCTCTCAGAGCCCTTGACGCTGCCGGGACCCCGACCGTCCGGCCGCCCGTGGGGATGAGAGTTGAGTGATGTGTGATTTCGTTCGTGTGAAATGTCCAGAATAGGCCAATCCACAGAGACAGGAAGTGGGTTCATGGTTGCCCAGGGCTGGGGAATGATGGCTGATGGGGACGGGGTTGCTTTTTGGGGTGAGGGAATGTTCTGGAAGTAGACAATGGTGATGGCTGCACAACTCTGTGAATGCACAACTAAAAGCCACTGAGTTTCACACCTTCAAAAATGAAACCATGTGAATTACATCTAAATTTTTAAAAAGCACCCTGGGCCAACAGGAGGGGTGGGAGGGATGGGAGGGCCTGGGCAACTGGTCCACAGGGACTCTGCGGGATAGCGAGAGCTTTCCAAACAGGAAGTCAAACCCACAGACTTGCCAAGGACACCAGGGCCACCTCCCTCCAGGCTGATTAATCAATGATCACCAAATGGCCCCTGCCAGCACATTCCTCGGGTGAGCTGCTGCTGGCCGCACCATGATGGTGACAACCGGCCTTTTGAGGCAAGGGCTGGAGGTGACTGCCAAGAGCTGTGGATTTCTGATGCCCCATCCCTCCTCGGACCTCCCTCACCAGCTCTGCCCCTGCAAACACGCCTGCTGCCAACCTGTCACCCACCCACGCCCCAGTGACCCAGGCCTGCGCAAACACCGTTTCCCGTCACCGCACGCTGTGGCCTCATGTGGCTGGCCTGGTGGGGGATTGTGATCCACACAGGGCTGGGCTCTCCCCTGGGTCTCGGCCTGGGACGCTGGGAGACAGGAATTCTTGCTTTCCCTTCCGAGGGAGTTCCAGAGCTGTCTGGAACCCTGCGGCCTCCTCCAGCCACAGAAGTCACCGTTTGCAGTGGGGAGAGGCCGGTCCGCATGGGGCAGGAGCAGGGTTGGGAGCGTTTCCCAATGCTGCAGTCTGAGGCCTGGAACCTGAGCCAGCCCCAGCCCATCTTCCCAGCAGCAGGAACTGCATGTTCCCCCGCTGCTCCTGCTAGCCTGACGCTGGGGGCTTCATCATGTGGATCTGAAAGAGGCCTTCCGGAGGGGCCCAGTGATTAGCTCCTCACGCCCCACAGCAAACCTGGTGCCTGCTGAGGACACGAGTCCCCAGAGGGAGCAGAGGGGACAGGTCCCATGCTTTGAGCAGCAGGCCAGGCCTGGCCTTGGAGTCTGGATGCTGGGCTAGTGCTAAGAAGTGTTATTATTACTCAGAGGCTGTGAGGAGGCCTGCCCCGAGAACCTGGATGTGACGTGAGCTCAGTGCTGCCCCTGACAGTGTTAAGTGACAGACTGGAGTAGGTGAAGGGTGAATGTCACCCAGAAAGGGGCAGTCTGGTTTCTGAGCTGCTCTAGGTACGTTCTGGGATTTCTGCCAAGTTCAAGCCCACTGGGGTGGGCCCTCAGTACCTCCAGGGTATTGTGAGGACCTGCCCATCCGAGCCCCAGACACACACAAGCCACAGGCGACCCGACGACCTCATCTATGCGGAGTCAATATGATACTTTGTCCCGGAAATTTGGAGAAAGTTCCTCCGTTTCTGCTGGTTGCTAGAACCTGAGGCATGGAATCCCAGGGGCTGTGGAGGGTTGTAGAAGACAGGCAGGCAGCCAGGTTGGGTGGACCCATGGAGACGCACACACGGGAGGATGCCTGGCTTCTGGAAGGCTCCGGTTCTCAGGTGCTGCTTCCTGAGGTCCAACAAGCTTTCTGCTCTTGGATTCCATGGGATGCCCCTCCACCTTTACTCCAGGGGTACTTCATGGCTCAGACGAGCTTGGAGAGTTTCTGTACCTTTTAGTAGCTCGGCGGAGATTTGAATGACGGCCCTGAAAGAGAGGTGACTGCACCCTGGGGCTTGGGTGTGGAGGCTACGTTACACAGAGAGACAAGCCTGTGCAGCTGGGATTAAGTGAAGGCTCTTGAGCTGAGGAGATGATCCTAGATTACCCAAGTGAGCCAGATGGCATCATGAGTCCTTATCAGAGGGAGGCAGGCCAGGCACGGTGGCTCACTCCTGTAATCCCAGCACTTTGGGAGGCTGAGGTAGACAGATCACCTGAGGTCGGGAGTTTGAGACCAGCCTGGCCAACATGGAGAAACCCCGCTTCTACTAAAAATACAAAAATTAGCTAGGTATGGTGGCAGACACCTGTAATCCCAGCTACTCGGGAGGCTGAGTTCCACCTCTCCTTGAACCCAGGAGAGGTGGAAATTGCAGTGAGCTGAGATCGCACCATTGCACTCCAGCCTGGGTGACAGAGCGAGACTCCATCTCAAAAAAAAAAAAAAAAAAAAGGCAGAGGGGAATTTCAGACAGAAGAGGAGTAGGAGAAGGAGGCTGTGTGACCATCAAGGCAAGAGGTTCCAATGTTGTGGCCACAAGCCAAGAGATGCCGGCTGCAACCAGAAGCTGGAAGAGGCCAGGACTGGTACGTTGATCTTGAATTTCTGCCCTCTAGAACTGTGAGAGAATCACTTTCACAATGGCAGCCACGGAACACTCCTCCAAACACCCTGACCAGGACAGCAACCCCAACGGGAGCAAGTGGCCGGGGATGCCACGGGATAAAAAAGGGGCAACGGCCCATGGCAGCCTTGGTCTGGACACTTGCCGTCGTAACAGCCAACCTCTCTCAGGTTATTGAGACTCAAGCCATTTCAGTCCAATTTCTCCCAGACTGGAGTTGGCCAGCATTCTTAAAGGCCCAGACAGCCTGGGTACAGAGGCTCACGCCTGAAACCCTAGCATTTTGGGAGGCTGAGGCAAAAGGATTGCTTGAGCCTAGGGGTTTGAGACCAGCCTGGGCAACATGGCAAAACTTCATCTCTACAAGAAACTGTCTGGGCATGGTGGCACGTGCCTTTAGTCCCAGCTACCTGGAGGGCTGAGGTTGGGAGGATCATCTGAGCCAGGGAGTGCCAAGCTGCAGTGAGCTGTGATTACACCACTGCACTCCAGCCTAGGCAATGGAGTGAGACCTCATCTCTAAAAAAAATAAAAAATAAAAGACAGTAAATGTTTTTGGCCACGTGGGCCATATGATCTCTGTTGCGGTGTCTCTCCAGCTGTAGCTTGAGAACGGCCAAAGTTGTCAGGAAACTAATGGGGACCAGGAAAACCTGACTTCTGAAGAAGGCTGTCGCCTGCCGACCCATTCTGGATGATTCTTCCTTTTAAATTCTTTGTTTGCCAAACCACCATCTGATGCCCACACCGGCCTGTCTGTGGAGAGGGACTGCGCTGACGGGGGAAAGAGGACAGCCACCTGGTGTCCACCTCGGTCACTGTCGTTAGCACGTGGTCAGCCACAGGCAGAGGATGACAGCCGTTCACTGGTTCCAATGCTGGCTGGGGCCGCAGCACATGCGAGCCTGGGCTCAGAGGCTGAGGGCCCCACCCTGAGTCCCGTGGATGAGCGCAGCAGCCTGGACAAGGATCCCAGCGCCACCCCACCCCCAAGGAACACTTGGCGATGTCTGAGGACGTGGCTGCTCCTGGCATGGAGTGGGTGGAGGTCAGGAACACTGCTCAGGACCCTGCAGTGGCCGGACGGCCCCACCCCAGAGAATGATCTGGCTCCAGTGTCCGTGGTGCCAAGCGGGAGAGACGCTGCCTGTGGTGCCCAGCCATGTGTCACGCTGCTTTCAAAGACACAGGCCTGGCTGATCTCTCCAAGGTGTCCTTCCTCCCAGCTTTTAAGGCCTCTGGGTGCAGTGGGTACCATCCGGATATCCGCTGCCTAACTCATGGGAGCCAGGCCCGCCGTGGCTGCAGAGGCTGCTGGAGAACATGCAGCCTAACCCGCACCCTGAAGGCATTTGTGGTGCAGAGGAGCCCAGTCCCATGAGGCACTGCAGACGCTGCAGAAGGAGCTGCATGCAGGCACACGCCCAGAGGAGGAAGTGTTGATCCAGGGCCTGCAGCAGGGGCTGCAAGCGTGTGGCAAGTTGCCCCTGTGCTGTCACCGGCGGCAGACCAGCTTCCGCCATCCAGGAGGCTTTCCTGGAGCCTCAGGATCCTTCCTGATGCACCTCCGTGGTAAGCTCCCACTGGAGTTACTCCCAACTCCCTCTAGGAATGGTTCAGTCCAGTCCTGTTTGTCACGAGCCCCACCCAGCCCGGACCAGGTGGCTGGGAAGTGACTCAGGGGGTGGACCCAGCTGACTAGCACTGGAAACAATCTCCGGGCTCGGAGCCACAGGGCCAGCTTAAGCCACGGCATCCTCGCCACACAGAGGAGCGGGGCTGCCCTGTGCATGGCTCCCTGCACGGCTGATCCTCCGGGGACCTCCCCACCCACCCTGGGCAGCCCTTCCCTGTAGTCAGAGCCGTCTGTGGCTGAGCCTTGAAGAACAGCACGCCCAGGGCCCGGCCATCCGAGCACATCTTCTGACTCCTGCGGACCTCTGGGAACAGAGAGGACCAGGGCACCGCGGTCCCAGATGCTGTCCCCACCCAGGCGGCCTGCAGGGCCCGGCTTACCCAGGTAGTAGAGGCGGTGGGAGTGGGGCCCAGACTCATCCGTCTTCTGCACAAACTGGAAGTCGTGGGGCGCCTTGTTAACAATGAGGCCCGAGTACTTGCGGCTGCCGTGGATGATGCTCCGGAGCCCGTCCCAAGAGTGCTTCTGCACCTGGAAGCGGGCGGCCGGGTCATCCGTGGCGGCTGCGTCGCCTCGGTCGGCTGTTGGGGTCCCGGTGGTGGCCATCCTCTCAGCCCCCTCGGAATTCAGCGAGAAGCTGTGCGGAGGAAGCAAAGACCATGAGAAAGGAGAACTGCTTTACCTACGAGCTGCTCCAACACTGCCCCTTGCGAGGCACTTAGATTCTTCTGGACGAGCCCACCCCTGCCGCTTCCCACTCCCTAAACCCTTCTTGGGTTGGTCCACCTCCACCTCTCTCCATGTCACCAAAGCTGCTAAGATTCAAGCCACCATCACCTCTCCAATGAATGATTTTTAAAAACTTTCTTCTTTTTGGAGATGGGGGTCTCAACTATGTTCCCCAGGCTGGTCTCAAACTCCTGGCCACAAGCAATCCTCCTGCATCAGCCTCCCAAGTGGCTGGGATGACAGGGGTGAGCCACCATGCTGGGCTTTGGCTGAATGACTGAAACCACCTCCCACCAGGATATTCCACATCCACTGCCAAGACCCCATCGCTTAAAACCCTTCCTGGTTTTCCACAGTCCCCGGGGTCACAAGCAGTCCTCGCCACACCTCAAGGCTCTCGCTGACCCCTGCCACAGCCTTGAATCTCATCCTCCTTATTCCCGTGCCCCAGCCAAACCAGCCTTCACTCAGCTCCTCAAACAGGCCGAGTTCCTTTCCACCACAGGGCCCCTGCACATGCTGGCCCTCCTGCTCGGAGTGCATTTTTCCTCACTTTACTTAACTTCACATATATATATGCGCTTTGTTTTTTTTTTTTTTTTTTTTTGAGACAGAGTCTTACTCTGTTGCCCAGGCTGGAATGCAGTGGCATGATCTCGGATCACTGCAGCCTCTGCCTCTCAGGTTCAAGTGATTCTCCTGCCTCAGCCTCCCAAGTAGCTGAGATTACACCACGCCCAGCTGATTTTTTTGTATTTTTAGTAGAGACGGGGTTTCACTATGTTGGTCAGGCTGCTCTCGAACTCCTGACCTCAAGTGATCCACCTCCCTCAGCTTCCCAAAGTGTTGGGATTACAGGTGTGAGCCACTGCGCCCGGCCTGCTTGACCAACTTCTAATCAGACCTCAGCTTAAGTACTTGGCAGGCCCTCAGAAACCTCGCACAACCATCCAGGCCGAAGGTCCTTCTGCTCACCTTTCACACGCCACCTGGCTGCCCCCCTCCATCCACCGTCATCACAGCGGTTATTTGTGGGACCCCTGTCTCCCCCACATCTGTCCCATTCACAGCTGTGCTCCCAGAACCTTAGCTGGTGGCTGGCACACGGCAGGCATCCTGCGGAGCACTGTGGAATGACTATCTCTCACCGCGCCCGCGGGGAGACACGCTGGGTCTCGGGAGAGGCCCGGGCGTGAAGGAATGAAAAGCCATCCTGGTCACCTGTGCTGTTGGCTTGCTGTCCAGCCAGGAAGACGTTTGGCCTTCACTGGAATTTCCAGAGCCTCGGGATGGGGGAGGTGCAGGTGAGAGGGTGAATGGCACACACTTCCCCAAAGAACATCCCACTCGTTCCCCCCACTCAGGACACTCTGGATCTGCAAAGCAGCCACCACGAGCAGCCGCTGCAGTGTCACAGCTCCCGCCACCCCACTCCCGCCCTCACCTGACTGGACTGGCCAGGCAAATATTTGTTTTACTGAAGTCTAAACATGGCCGCAGTGACCCAGTTCTGCAAGAGCCAGTGGTCTGGAAGGGGTGGCACCGGGGCCGATCTCACTTCCCTCTGTGGGCTCCGAGTGACTGCCGACCTTGCCAGAAGCCCTGTCCTCTGGGACCAACAGCTTGGCCTGGGGAAGTCGCTGCTCGCTCGGAGGAAGTGGGAAAACCCGAGGGAGTGGACAGCAGGGACCGGGTGTGAGAGAAGTAAAGGGCAGAGACGAGTGGGCCGCCTTGACTCTGCGGCGTGCCAGTTCCGGAAAGACTCTGCCTCTTGCCAAGGGGAGCCCCCACAGGCTGACCAATGCAAGAGAAAGAGCCCCAGCCCGCTCTGAGAGGGCAGGGGAGAAAGAGCGGCAAGGACGTCAACGAGCGCCTTTGGAAGATCAGGACCTGCAATTGTCACCTCACTTGGGCTTGTGACAGCCCATTCTACAGGTGGGGAAACTGAGGCTGGGAGGGCATTGGAGCTTGCTCCCAATCAGAGCCGAGTGAATGAGCAAAGGGGGTTCGAAGGAGGCAGCCCAGCCCCCAGCCTCCCACTGAGATGCTGTGTGACAAGCCCAGCAATTGCAGCAGGAAAAGCCACAGTGCAGCCCCGAGAGCTTCCCGTGCCACGCTGCGAGACCCCCGTGTCCTGTGGGAACCCAGAGAGCTTCCCGTGCCACGCTGCGAGACCCCCGTGTCCTGAGGGAACCCAGAGAGCTTCCCGTGCAGTGCTCTGCGAGACCCCCGTGTCCTGTGGGAACCCAGAGAGCTTCCCGTGCAGTGCTCTGCGAGACCCCCGTGTCCTGAGGGAAGGTCCTGGAAGCCAAGGAGAGTAGAAGCCACCTCAGCACGGGACATATGAAAGGCTCAAGGCGCAGGGGGCCCCTTGGGAAGGGGGCTGCTGGGTATCACGGCTGTGGGCTGATTTCTGGAGGCTCCTCTCCAACTCGACCCCAAAGAAATGACAGGGGAAAACGCTTCCCTCGTTTCCTCCTACTCCATCCAGGCTGAGCCAGCGTGTCCTGCCCTCCAGCCAGGAGGAGCACAGTTTGTTAGTTCAGCTCCTGCTGAGATGGAACTAAAGACACGAACCAAAGGATATCAGCACTTACAGGGCTCTCAGGTCGCCAGGATGTCCTTGCCCACTGCAGAGCTGCAGTTCCCCTCTAGGGCAGCGGGGAGCCACGAGCGGTGTTAGGCAGGGGCTGGTACCAGGACCGCCTGAGCACTCAAGAACCCACACCGTCCGGAGCACTGCTGGCAACAAGCCCAGAAAACTGAGCCCGGGGAGCTCCTCTGAGCGGCCTAAGCACCCCTCTAAGCTGTGCTGCCCCAATTCAAGCCTGGCTCACGGCAGCAAAGAAAAGATATGACCTTCAGAGCTCCCAAAGGGGCCACCCGTGCACGGATAGCCTGTCTGGAAGCACCTACAGAACCGCGTGCCTTATTTCCACTGCAAAGAACAATAAAGACGATCTTGCCTCTGATCACCACAGATAGCCCAAGAAGCAAAAATTCGATCCCGGAGATGAGAAACGAAATGAGACATCGTGAGAAGCTTCCAGGAATCTTCTGGATGTGGCTAGACTCTTCAGCTTGAGCTTCCAGACAGGCCGAGGCTTGGTGCTGGAGCCTGGCCCTCTGCTCACCTCGCTTCTACCCGGAGGCACAGCCTGGACTGCAGAGAGGCTGGCGAAAGAGCGAGGGAGCGAGCGCGGGCGAGCCTGTGACTGGCTTTCTCCACCCAGCACCACCCTGTGCTGTGGTTCAGGGGAGTCAAGAGTTTACACAGCTGCAGAGATGAAAGCGGATTCCAGGCCACTCACTCAAGTCTACCTACTCCTTCCTTCAGCCAATCAGCTGGGTGCCTCTGCTCTAGACCTTCTGGCACGGTCTCTGTCAAGGCTGGGTGGCAGATCTGTGATCTCCTTTTTAAATTTTTCCTTTGTTTTTTAAGAGACGGGGTCTTGCTATGTTGCTCAGGCTGGTCTCAAACTCCTGGGCTCCAGCGATCCTGCCACCTCAGTCTAGCAAATAGCTGGGATGAGAGGGGTGCAAGCCACCATGCCCAGCTCCAAAGCTCTGTGATCTCTGTGTCTGAGATGGTGCTTTGGTGGCGAGCAGGGGCGCGGGAGTAGTCAGAGATGGGGGAAGTATTCGGATGCCCAGAAGGAACCGTAGATTCAGTGCTGACTGCAGTTCTGAGTTCGGGCTGACCACAAGGTGATAAGGCAGACAGAAAGGCGGGAGCCCCTGGCTGGCGTGGGGCAAGGGGCGTATGGGGGTGGTGAGGACAGGGTCCTACCCATGCACTAGATGGGGAAATGCCTCAAGGTGGACTTTAGGCAGCTGGCCTGGGCCAGGAAAGTGCTCCTGCAAGTGGGGGCTGCTGGGGAAACAGTATGTCATCCTCTGTTCTACCAAACTGCCCCCAGCACCGCCTGGGCCTTTAGCTTTGATGAGCAACCTTTAGAGTCACCCAGCAGCCTGTGCCCAGGTGGGACATTAGTGTATGCAGATAAGGGAAGGGACACAGATCCCCTTCAGTAACTGACCCCTAAGGCATGTGCCCACCAGACACTAGAACCGCCGGGTTTTAGAGCCCACGGCTGGGCCAATCATAGCCCTTCACACCGTCCCTGTCTTCCCCGGTCCATTCTTCAATTCCCTTCCTGATTGAGCATGCTCCATTAAAGCAAACAAGCCTAAGAGTATTAGAAAATCGAGGCCAGGCGCGGTGGCTCACGCCTGAAATCCCAGCACCTTGGGAGGCCGAGGCGGGTGGATCACGAGGTCAGGTGATCAAGACCATCCTGGCTAACGTGGTGAAACCCCATCTCTATTAAAAATACAGAAATTAGGCCGGACGCGGTGGCTCAAGCCTGTAATCCCAGCACTTTGGGAGGCCGAGACAGGCGGATCACGAGGTCAGGAGATCGAGGCCATCCTGGCTAACACGGTGAAACCCCGTCTCTACTAAAAAATACAAAAAACTTGCCGGGCGAGGTGACAGGCGCCTGTAATCCCAGCTACTCGGGAGGCTGAGGCGGGAGAATGGCGTAAACCCAGGAGGCGGAGCTTGCAGTGAGCTGAGATCCGGCCACTGCACTCGAGCCTGGGCGACAGAGCGAGACTCCGTCTCAAAAAAAAAAAAAAAAAAAAAAAACAGAAATTAGCCAGGTGTAGTAGCACACGCCTGTAGTTCCAGCTACTTGGGAGGCTGAGGCAGGAGAATCGCTTGAACCCGGGAGGTGGAGGTTGCAGTGCGCCAAGATCGTGCCACTGCACTCCAGCCTGGGTGACAGAACAAGACTCCGTCTCAAATAAATAAATAAATAAATAAATAAACAAACATGGGCTCAGTCAGGTTGAATGGCCTGTCCAACGTCACCCAGCAAGGAAGGGGAGTGGAACCCATCTCTTGGAGCCCCAAACCCACATCCTTACAGTGAGATCAGTGGTTCTCGCTCAGGAGTGAGTCTGCCCCCAGCAAAACATGGCGATGTCTGGAGACATCTGTGGTTGTCTCAACTGAGGGGAGTTCCTGGCATGAAGTGGGTGGAGGCCAGCGACGCTGCTCAGCACCCTGAAGTGCCCGGGACGGCCCCACCCCAGAGAACATTCCAGCCCCAATGTCCACAGTGCTGACGGGGAGATCCCACACTAGGCCATGCTGCCTCCGCGCTCGAAATAACCAGAACGGCCTTGGGGACCTGCTGGGGAATCCAGGGGAGAGGGAAAGAAGGGGCCTTCCAGATCTCAGACTGTTGGGGAATTCCGGAAGCTGGGCCACATCTCCACTGATCAGGGCCTCCAAAGCCAGCCTCACCTTCTCCAACTTCCGGTGTTCTCCTTGTCCAGGCGCAGTTTCTTAACCTTCCGCATTAACCGCTCAGCTGACCTCAGGAGGGCAGGGGTGCCTGCGGGCAAGCAGGAGAGACCAAAGGGCTGCAACCCCGGCAGGCGGGGAGTGGGCGCTCCTGCCCCCTTCGCCCCCTCCCCATTTCCCCAGGCAGTCCTCCAAGCCTCCACGAGCACCCTGAGGCCAAGGGCATTCTGAAGAGACAGTGCTTCAGGCCCTGCCCTGAAATGTGGGCGGTGCTGGGCATTTGCCAGAGACCGGCATCTTTCTCAACAGGAGGTTCCTTTCAAGGTGTGAAGTCCCTGGGAGTTTCAAGTGACTCCAGGGACACCACACCAGGGCACTTGCTGGAAACAGAAGAATCCCAAATTCCTCACTGTGGCCGCTCCCTGATGGCCCTGGTGACCTTGCCTACTCGCTTCGTCCTTGACCGTGACCTTTGGCCATACTAGCCTCCTTCCTGTCCCTCAACACATCCGCTTGCTCCTAGCACACAGCTTCTGCACGACGCGCCCCTTGGCCTGAGATGCCAGTTCCCTGCTTTTGATATGACTTGCTCCTTCTTGCCCTGCGGCTCCTGATACCACCTCTTCAGAGGTCATTCCTGAGCGCCCCATCTGAAGATGCTACCTGACTGCCCCCATCACTACACCCGGATGCTGACACGATGGCCTGGACCATCATTCCGGTGGTCCCCTTCCCCAGGGAGAGTGGCTCTCACCTGGGGGCGATTCGGCCCTCCAAGGGACACTGGATGATGTCTGGAGACATTTGCGGCTGTCACAACTTGGGGGTGCCCCTGGCATGGAGTGGGTAGAGCCCAGAGACACTGCTTAGCACCCCACAGAGCCCAGGATGACCCACTCCAGAGAAGGATCCCACCTCAAATGTCAGCAATACCAAACCGGAGACCCCTGCATCCATTACTTGGGGAGAAATTTGAGTTCAATGCCTACGTTCATATTAATACTGGAATAAACTTTCCAGGGAACAAGCATTCCAAACGAGGGGGACCCCCCAGCTCCTGGGATTCACCTCCTGTCTTCTTCCCCACTCAGGGTGAGGATTTCAATGTCTGCAGCCTCCTGGGACCTTCGTAGGGCAGAGGATCATGGGACACAGTCTCTTGAGGATTCATGGAATCCCCTAACCCAGGGAGTCTCACCTGGGGATAACTGGCCCCCCCAGGGGACATTTTTGGTAATGACGACTGGGACGGTGCGGGGAGGCATGTGGCTGGTGGAGGCCAGCGATGCTGCTCAACCCCTACAGTGCACAGGACAGCCCCCCTCCCACTCCTCTGCCAGGAAGGACCCAACCCTAAATATCAGTGGCAAGGCTGAGAAACCCTTCTGTGGGTAAGAGGGCACTCCTCACGGGAATGTCAGTTCCACAGGGCAGGTCACATCTATCCTGGTCCCAACAGATCGCCTGAGCCCAGACTATGCCTGGTCCTCAACAAACATTTCTGGTTGAATGAACGAGCTACTGTCCTTTCTTGGATGCTGTCTAAAGTCAAAGGGGCCCCTTGTTTGGCTGGTGCCCAACTACCTTCTCAGACAAGCCAGGTCCCATGATGGGCATTTGCCCAAAGGCATAAAGAAGAGAGGGCCAGCTGGGTACAGTGGCTCACGCCTGGAATCCCAGCACTTTGGGGGGCTGAGGTGGGCAGATCACCTGAGGTCAGGAGTTCTAGGCCAGCCTGGCCAACATAGTGAAACCCCATCTCTACTAAAAATACAAAAATTATCCGGGTGTGGTGGTGCAAGCCTGTAATCCCAGCTACTCAGGAGGCTGACACAGAAGAATTGCTTGAACTCAGAAGGTGGAAGTTGCAGTGAGCTGAGATTGCGCCACTGCACTCAAGCCTGGGCGACACAGCGAGGTTCTGTCTCAAAAACAAAAGAAGAGAGGGAAGCACATGGGGACAGGACTGAGATCATAAGGGAAGAGGTTAAGCATAAAGTCACCACGAAAAATCACTGGCTGCAATCTCAGTCCAGTGGTGAAAAGTGTGGGCTCTGGTCTCAGAGAGAAGGGTTCAAATCCTCACTCTGCCACTTCTGGGAAAGTCCCTGAACCTCTCTGAGCTTCCACTTCCCCAGCAAGAACATGATACGACAGTATCTAAGCCTGGGGCCACAGAAGGAATTAAATGAGACTGCACACACACAGCTTTAAAACAGTGTCTGATGTAGCACAAACTAAATGACAGCTAGCGCCGTCAACTAAACAAGCTACTCAAAACCACAGGAAGCGGCAAGACTCAAACTAAAGTCCTTTCAGAGGCAGAATCCACACCATTTGCTGACCAGGTCAGGCAGTATAGGGGGATACAGGCACCCCTCCACCAAATCCTGTCGAAATCAGCACTCTCCCCTTCCTCTCCTCAAAGCCTTCAGAAAGCTCCTTCCAGGGGCAGCTAGAGGGGGACAGGGGTGGAAAGAAAAGCCTCCAGCAGGCACACAAAAAGCTGCAGCCACTGCCCTGCAGAGGACAACCACCCAGGGCCATAAAAATCCATTTCCTGACAATCTCTGTTCTAGAGCAGGCATAGGAATCCCACCAGCCCACACCCCAGCCTTCCTGGCTGCCAAACCCCAGCACAACTGACCTTCTAAAGGGTCCAGAGAGCCTCCATTCCAGCTGCAGGGGTGGGACACAGACCTTTATAGGAGAAACGTGTCATGAAGGTGGCAGGTTAATGGAAGCACCGGTTAGCCATTCAGCCTCCCCCACTCCGGAGCTGCAGACTGCCAGGCCCGATTCTACCTGGCTAGATTCTAGCTCTGCCTCCAAGCTCTGCAGCACCGTCTGCATGCCCTGGACAGAATCTGGGAGAAGAGCCATCCCACGGGCCCCGATTCCCCTGGGACCCAGCAGAGGAATGCAGGGATTGGGTGCCTACAGTCCACACCTCCTGGGCTTTAGTCCCAGCTCCTCGAAAGCAGGTTGGTTCTTGCCGGGGAGGCAAGTGATTTCCTCCTGGGGCCCCTGGGGAAGACCAGGGGGTGGAGGCCAAGGGAATAGACCGCTTTTGATGGCTCAGAGGCAGTGTGGACAGGGAAGTGTCAGGGCTGGCCTAAGGCTGTGTGGGAAGAAGGTGGGCGGCTGGACAGGCCTGAGAAGGGAGGCTGACGGAAGGGGAATGGACCCTGTGGGCTGGACCCTTGGAAGACAGCTATGCTAACCACTACACCACCAACGCCTCGGCAGGAAAAAGAGTCTCTGGATGTCCTTAATAAAGGGATCAAGTAGGGCTGAGGATCAGGACTGGGTCGGGGGAGAGCAAGCCTTGGGGAGAAGGTTGGGGGAAGGGGTAAAGGGGTGAGGACAGGATGCAGGTCGAGGGAGGTGGCCTCTGTGCACATACAGCATTTGCATGGGGAGAGGGAGGAGATCGGGACCTCCAGAGCCTGCACGGAAGGGGAGAGGGTGTCAAGGTCTGCAGCAGCGAGGTCGTTCTTGGGTGCGGCCACCTCCGGAAGGGGTCAGAGCCTGGAGGCCTGGGCAGCAACGGGATGGGTGGGGAAGCCCGACCGGGAAAGGGAGAAACTGGGAGGTGGCCTGGCCAGTGCAGGAATCGGGGAGGGAAAGAAGGTGGAAGGGGGCCTGGGGCGGAGGGGAAACGAGGCAGGGGGCTGGAGGGACCCGCAGACGGGTGCATGGAGGCCCCGGGGTGCGGGGAGGCCAGGCGATGGCGAGGGCAGGGTCAGGGCCGAGGCGGGACCGGTCAATGGCGGGTTCAGGGTCGCGGCCGGGACGGGACGAGGCGCGCGGGCGCTACTCACCGGGACGTGGGGCGGCGGCCGGGCTGGGCAGGTCGTCCCGGGGCCAGCGGCGCCTCACGGTCGCGGCTCCATGCCCGGGACTGCGGCCCCGGAAGTGGCGGGCGCGGGGGACGACAGCGGCGGCGGACACAGGGGACCCGCCGGCTCAGGCACCTTTGACCCGGAAGTTGAGCGGCCCAGGCGGCGGCCTGGGATTGGACACCACCAGGCACGTACCAAGGCGTCCGCGGCGCTTAGGGGGGAACCCCGCGGCGCGGCGCCGGCGGCCTAAGGTGCGGAACGCCCCATGAACGACATCTTCCGGTGGGGTAAGGAGAGACACCCCCGTGTGACTTGGTATCATTCAGTCAAGCCCATGATACCCTACTATTAAAGATATCCGGAGATGGCGTTTATTACCGTGGCGTTGGTGGTATAGTGGTTAGCATAGCTGCCTTCCAAGCAGTTGACCCGGGTTCGATTCCCGGCCAACGCAAAGCAGGCTCTTTTACCACTTTGAGTTTACTTGTTTTTGAGATGGAGTCTTGCACTGTCGCCCAGACTGGAGTGCAGTGGCGCGATCTCCGCTCACTGCAACCTCTACCTCCCAGGTTCAAGCGATTTTTCCTTCCGCAGCCTCCCAAGTAGCTGGGATTACAAACGTGCGTCACCACGCCCAGCTAATTTTTGTATTTTTAGTAGAGATGATGTGGGGGGAGGGGCGGTTCACCATTTTGGCCAGGCTGGTCTCGAACTCTTGACCTCAGGTGGTCCGCCCTCTTCGGCCTCCCAAAGTGCTGGAATTACAGGCGTGAGCCATCACGCACGGAAAATTTTTTTAAATCCCATAAAAATTTCTAAAAGGCAGGAGGAAGTCGGAAGACAAATAATAGGACCACAATCCAGAACTTATGTTTCGGTGAATTGCAAATAATATCACTTCTCCGGTTAGGGAAAAGAGCAGAGTTGTTTCCGCCCGGGATCGAACCGGGGACCTTTCGCGTGTGAGGCGAACGTGATAACCGCTACACTACGGAAACCGGTAAAGGTCAGAGTTCTTTGAACTCTCATATAGAGATGATGGTGCAGAACTAGTTACACTGTAGCACTCCAAAGAAATACTGGCTGTGGTCAGCTAAGGCAATATCCGCTCTTCCTGAATACCTGTTATTCCACTTGATACAGTAGCGACCCAAAGAAGGAAAATACGGAAGACAAAAAGAAATCCAATAAACACCCTTTCCAACACACGCACACATTTATTACTTTATCATAAATCCACCTTGCGCACACATTTATTACTTTATCATAAATCCACCTTGCATTAAAACAGTGAAAGTCCACAAAACCATCCGGGGTCAAATGAACCTTTTCTTGGTTCATCTCATAGCTAAAATCTATACTTGACATCACATTAGTTTCTGCAGATAGTCACCATTTTGCTTTAGATCAAACTACTTTTTTGTTTTGCTTTGTTTTTTAAGAGAGAGTCTCATTCTGTCACCCAGATTGGAGTGCAGTGGTGCGATCATCCCTCCCTGCAGCCTCCACCTCCTGGGCTCAAGCGATCCTCCCACCTCGGCCTCCTGGGTAGCTTGGACCACCTTGGACCACAGGTGTGGACCACCACGCCTGGGTAAATTTTTTAAATGCGTTTGGTAGAGACGGTGCCTTCTAGCTGGGACTACAGGCGTGTGCAATCACGCCCAGCTAACTTTCGTATTTTTTTTTTTATGGAGACCAGAGGGCCTACACTATGTGGCCCACCCAGGCTGGTCTCCAACTCCTGACCTCAACGTGATTCGCCCACCTGCAGCCTCCCAAAGTGCTGGGATTACAGGCGTGAGCCACCGCGCCCGACCCCAGCTACACTGTAAAAGAGCTTTCTGAAAACGAAAAACTGTGCGTGTATGTGTTTATATGCTAAATGCAGGAAATTTAGGAGGAAAAACAAAATACAAGCCAGACACAGAAGATCATTTAAATGTAATTAAAATGGGTTTTCATCTCATCACCCAGAGCGCGTTACACGTTAAAGCAATCTGGTTTCTCTTTCTTCTTTTTTGGCCTTTCTCCTTTTTTTCATTTTCTTTCTTATTTTTCTGAGACGAGGTGTGGATCCTGTTCCGCCCAGGCATGGAGTGCAGTGGCGCGATCTCCGCTCACTGCAAGCTCCATCCCTCCCGGGGGTTCACGCATTCCCCTGCCTCAGCTCCCGAGTAGCTGGGACTACAGGCGCCGCGACCTACCTCGCCCCGGGCTAAATTTTTTTCATATTTTTAGTAATAGATGGGGTTCACCGTGTTAGCCCAGGATGGGTCTCGATCTCCTGACCCATCGTGATCCGCCCCGCCTCCGGCCTCCCAACAGTGCTGGATTACAGACAGGCGTGACCAACCGTGCCCCGGCCTCCTTTCTCTCCTTTCCTT